GCCCATATTAATGATAATGGGCCTAAAGATCGTGGGCCTAATATTAACGAAAGTTTGCGTCCATATTAATGACAATGGGCCTAAAGATAGTAAGCCTTATATTAATGAAAGTTTAAGCCCATATTAATGAATGGGCCTAAAGATATTGGGCCTTATATTAATGACAATGGGCCTAAAGATAGTAAGCCTTATATTAATGAAAGTTTAAGCCCATATTAATGACAATGGGCCTAAAGATAGTAAGCCTTATATTAATGAAAGTTTAAGCCCATATTAATGACAATGGGCCTAAAGATAGTAAGCCTTATATTAATGAAAGTTTAAGCCCATATTAATGACAATGGGCCTAAAGATAGTGGGCCTGATATAAATGAAAGTTTGAGCCCATATTAATGACAATGGGCCTCAAGATAGTAAGGCTTATATTAATGAAAGTTTGAGCCCACAAAATAAAGGTCTTTTATTAAATAAATGGAAAACATTGTGAACCAAAAATAGATTTCCTCAAATAAAAACATATCAAAAATCGAAAATTAACAATAGGAACAATCAAACAATGAGGTCATTGTATCTGTTTCTTTAGGTAGAGATATTTTTGCTTTCTCCCCCTAATAAAATATCCACTTGCTCTCTTTCTCTCTCTAGATCTCTCTCTCTCTCTCTCTCCTTTTTGGGAGTCTCCAAGACAGACACAACAATGGCAGGAATGATATGCAGTAAAGATTTTGCCATATTCGCGGCGATGGTTTCGACGGAGATCTCAAACGTAGGATTGAACGTTCTGTTCAAAGCCGCGACTTCGAAGGGCATGAGCTCTTCTGTGTTCCTCGTCTATTCTTTCGCCATTGGAGCTCTTCTTCTTCTACCTTTCACCTTCTTCTCCTGCAGGTTAATCAGATCTCTCTCTCTCTCTCTCTCTCTCTCTCTCTCTTTCTCTCTCTCTCTCAGATCTCTGATTGTTTGCTGTTACAGGTCAAGATTGCTTCCTCCCCTAAGTTTCTCAATACTTAGCAAAATAGGAGTTCTTGGGCTACTAGGGTAAGGTTCTACAAATCTCTCAGACATGTATATATTTTCATAATTATGAATGCTTATGAAAAATCCACTGCGTGTTGGTGGCAACATGAGAAGATGTTTGTATAATACGTTAGGGTACAAGGGCGTCAGACTCAGCTCCCCGACTCTTGCTTCTGCGATGAGCAATCTCACCCCCGCTTTCACCTTCATCCTCGCCGTCATTTTCCGGTATTTTGTTTTTTAAATGTCGGATTGTGGGTTGAGATTTGATTATTTCATATCTTATTTTACTACCAATAATTAATATATATTAAAACTTTACTCAATGATACATAATAGAGAGATAAGGTTTACTCTATTTTCAGCCACCCAAATGAAAAAGTCTAAAGTGACAATGTATTTGAATACCCTTCCTAACCATAATGTCCTTTTTTTTTTTAGAAAATGTATTAACTAATGTTAATCCCTATTGGGAAAAAAAATATAAAAGGATGGAGAAGGTGGCAATAAAGAAAGGGAGTAGCATGGCCAAAGTGGCAGGGACACTGGTGTGTATAAGTGGTGCGCTAGTGGCCACTCTGTATCATGGTCCACCCGTTTTCGTCGCATCTCAGCCGTCGGATCATCTCCGGCGGACTCAGCCGCTGCCACGGTCCTCGAACTCCGATTGGGTCATGGGTGGAGGCCTATCAGCCCTCAGCTACACCCTCGTTTCCGTCGCATACATAGTTCAGGTACGGATGAATATTCCTTCCGATGAAATGAAATGTACGTACATGATGAAAATTTGATAATAAGGGTGGACATTTTTGGGTTTTTGTTCGGGTTTGGTTCGGTTTTAGAGAAATTAGATGGGTTTTGAAGTGATAATTAGTGAGATATATGAATCTAAACCCCTAAATTATGTAACACAAACAGATTTATAAGTAAAAACAAGAGACAAAGAAGATCAATAGCTATGAATATTGTCTTTAGGACAAAGTCTAAGGTTTATTGGTACGGACAGGCACAAGTACTGAGAGAGTATCCGTCGGAATCCATCGTGACGCAATTTTACGCGGCATTTGCGTCCATGTTCAGTGCATGGATCAGCTGCTTCACTGAGAAGAACAACCCGAGCGCTTGGATCATACAGTCCAAGTTATCGTTGGCCTGCATCGTTGCGGCGGTACCAAATATAACCACGGGCTTATCGTAAAATAATGGTTTCGGCCCGATTATTTTGATGGTGTTGTAACTGAAGCAACGTTGCAGGGGATACTGAATCCGGGGAACTTTCTGATACATTCGTGGGTGGTGCGTTGCAAAGGTCCGGTGTTCGTAGCAATGTTCAGGCCGCTGTCTATTTTGATCGCAGTCGTGATGGGTGCGATATTCCTCGGCGATTCTCTCTATCTCGGAAGGTTAACTCTCTATTCCATATATTTCGTATTCGATTTCGAGTTTTTGAAACGAAATATATTGATTCAAACATTTTTGTGAAGTTAGAAATCTTCTTCGTTTTTTTATTTTTTGCTTATTATATATCCTCTGGTATTATAATCTTTATTTACCCTTTTTTTTTTGGAATTTGGAATGGGGCAGTTTGGTGGGAGGAGCCCTAATATCGGCTGGGTTTTATACGGTGATGTGGGGAAAGGCCAAAGAAGACAAGGCTGAAGCCGAACCTAACAGCCCCGAGAAAGCCTCCATCTTGGCAGATTATCACAAAGAACAAATCTAACGCTGAACTCAGAAAGAAAAAAAAAACAAAGCCCTCCTCAAATGTGTATTCAAACTACATTTTCGTGCCAATCAATTTTTTGTACGGAATGTTAGAAGTTCTGTACAAGGAGGAAAGATTGAACAAGAAAGAATTCGATGTTTGTTTGTATTGGGGTCCAAATTTGGCTAGCGAATCCTCCGACTCCGTAGCCGTAGCAGCGGAGTTAAGGGGAGTGCAAAGGACCACGAACGGACAAAGTCCGAAAAGGCCGAGAGGTTAACCCGATGGTTCGAATGCCCGAAATACCCAATGCTCAGATATCCGATCAAAATCAGATACATAAAAAAAAATCCGGGTATCCGACCGTACCAACCCAATCCGCAAGGGAGATGGTGAAAAAAATGTGCATTGCCCACGACCATTCTCACCATTTTTCAACAGAAGCACCTCTTGCTACGTAAAGGACTTTCTTTTCTTGGCTTCTACCATGTCTCATCTTTCATGCATCATATTACTTCCCAAAGACAACAAAATCATCACCATGACATCGAAGTAAAAAATGTTTCTGTGGATGAGCTCCCTCACCACCTAATATTGGCATCCATGACCGAATGTGTGTGTATGTATGTTCCAATGTTCAAGACCCATGGTGCGCTCCAAAAATATAGGAACCATGGACCAGAAGCTCTGTCCGGACAAGGCAGATAGATAGATCTGTGTTTCAAGTCTTGAGATCATCAGACATTGCAGATGGTATGCAATGCGTCGTTAGGACATCCAAAGTTGCATCCTTTGCTGTCTTCGTTTGAAGAACTACAATCTGCATATCCAAAAATCACATAGCTTTCAGTTATGTCCCAAGGGTATGAACCATGGTTATTATTATGAATCTAGAATCCTAGCCATGCCTAAAACCAGACCAAAATCACTCAGTCACACAAAGGATGGCAATAAAGAATGAGACGTACTTGTTCATACTCCAATTCGAACTTCATATATTCGTCGTTACAGTTTTCCACCATTTCAGCCAGGCTTTTCAGGTTTTTCACTGGTTTCCCATTGAAGGCAAGAACCTACACAAATATTAAGCCATAAGACTGATGCATCATCATCACAGAATAGAATGCAAAAAAAAAACATTATAATGAACGATGCATCCTCTTGAAACCTGAGTGTTGACAATCTCCTCATAACCAATATTGATATCAGATACAAGCACCTGCAGAGTTGGAAATGAAAGAATATGTGGGTCAGGAATTTCTGAGTTGGAACTTGACCTCAAGGAAATGAAAAAACATAACGGTGTAAAAAGAAACGGACATCGCAACCTGTGAAACAACAACAAGCTGCTCATCGACAGATTGAGCCATTGAGTGAAGGTGCTTATCCAACAGCTTGACTGGAGCATCAAATTCGTATTCCTTCCCATACTGGCAGATATTTTGGAAAATGGTTACAGAACACTGATTTTAGATAGAGAGTAAGGAGAGAGCGAGAGAGAGAGAGAGAGAGAGATGAGATAGAAGACCTCAGATCGCAGATATGGAACAGAGACAGTGGTGAAGACAAAACCGGCAATTATGAAGTAAGAAGGAGGTTTGCCATTTATGTGTGCTGGGATGAGCCTCTTGTGGGATGAAAGTTTTATGTTGAACTCGAGTATTTGTTTGTTGCGAAGAACTTTCACAAGGGCAGAATCTCCCGTGTATTTTTGAGAGATAAGATAGCTAAACCCTATCCGTTCTCCATGCCTGAATGGAACTGAAAGCAGGAGAAGAAAGGAGGATTAGCAAATGAAAGTATATAGAAGGACAACATCTTTCCATGAATGCTAAGGATACAACTGAAAATCCGAAACAGCCAATAATTAGGACTATTACCGGTTCCATCATTAGCGATATTAACGCCATCAAAACTAAGGATAACATCGGATGGCTTCAAAACCTGAGATTCTGGGGCAGTCGGCTCAATTCTTCTTATCCGCACCCCTTTTTGATGAGCCTCCATACCCATTGACTTGCGCAGGTCAGGATTTTCCATCTTCTGCCATTCAACTCCAAGAACAGGAAAACCTAAAACAATACCAATTATATATATGATTAAAAGAAGGGAAGAAATCAAGTACAGAAAATAAAAACTATGTTGTGGGAGTGGGACTTACCTGTGTATCTTCCATTCCTCTCATAATCTTGAATGAAATGGACAATAACTGGAGTGGGTATGACATAACCGATATTTTCAGCATCCTCATGCTTCAAGGACTGGAAGGCTATGCCGACACATTTTCCCTTGTCGTTAAAGGCAGGCCCACCAGAGTTTCCAGAGTTTATAGCTGCATCTATCTGGAGCACAAAAGTCATTACTGTGAGTCTGTAATCAGTAAATTACCCAAAACATAAAGTACACGAAAACTTCCAAAATGATCTTTTAGGAGGGAAAGGAGCCATGAAAGATGTACAACCTGCAGACCCAAAAGCTCAGTCGATCCGTGTACATAAGACAGTATCTCCATTCGCGAAACAACACCACTTGTGACAGAAATCGTGTCACCACCAATCGGATATCCGACAACAGTTACAGCATCTTGCAACGCGGGTAAATCTCCAAACTCCACGGGAGAAACTCCTTCCCAGAATTCATCATCGCTGACGGTTAACAGAGCTGCAACCAAATGAAAAACAAGAGCGTATTACATCATAAGCCCATACCCAAAAACAGTACAAACTCCAACATCAGCATTACCAGATCAACTAATCATGAACATAACAAGGTAAGGACCTTCAAATAAGACGTTAATAACTCAATCTATGTTATAAACTAAGCAACCATGTTTTGACGTCACTCAGAACTCAAGCTAATATACTAATTCGTAATAAGAATTCCCTGACACCCCGAAAACAGACTAAGAGCACCAGAAGAGACAGATACCAGAAACCCGAGAAACACGAACATACCAATGTCACATTCAGTTCCGATGGCTAAGACTGTCGCCAGGTACTTCGTATCAGAACCACGCTTCTTGAGCTTCACCTGAGTGTGATGTTCCACTGAATGAGCATTTGTCAAGACCCTTCTCCCGCTGATAATGAAACCGCTGCTGCTGGAGCTATACTGGCGCTTCCGCTGCCATGGCAACGAGAAATTAGGTTCGGTGTGAACACAGAACACCTTCACAACCGCGTCCATGGAGGGCACAACCTTCACCACCGTCTCCCACCGTGGCGCCGCCGGAATCGGCAAGGTCGCCGACGCCACCTCCGCGATCGACAAAACCCCATTATTGCAATCACCGTTCTGGTCAGCGTGGTGGTGCCTCCCCCTACGCTCTGGCGAAGACTTCCTCCCGTTCCCAGCTAGCTCCGTCGGCTCTGGCTGGCTGTTAAGCCGGCGCTTCTTCTGCCTTCCACGGCCGCGTCGCAACGGAGATGGGCTTTTATCGGTGGCCGACGCGGGCTCAGGGGAAGGATCATTGATTTCGTTGAGCCGGGTCACTGAAGCCGACCCGGAAACTTGGGCGTCCTTAACATCGCCGGAGATGGCTGCGGTGGCCGCCGGAGAGGCATCGAACTTTTTCTTTTTCCGGCCTCTCTTGTTACAAGTCCTCATTTCTTAAAATAAAAAATTTTCTGACAAACAGCAAGTAGAAATGGAGGTACTAGAAGCACAATTCTCTGAATTTCGTGCAGTGAAACTATATAATCTCTCTGCAAAACCCAAATTTCCAGAACATTCTTCAGATTGGGGCTAGGGTTTTGAATCGGAAGGCGTGAAGAGCGATCAATGACTTTTTGGTTTGGAATCTGGAGATCGGAGATTAGAGGGCAGCACAATGATTGGATCGGTTGGGCCGGTGAAAAGAGATTAATGGACATAGAAGTCGGCCCATGAATAAGAAGATAATGGGCTTAGTGTTGGGCTTTAGATTAAATATAATTTAAAAGCCGGTCATCGTGATCCCAACCAAATCAAATAAAAATAGAATTGCATTGAATAAAAATTTTATTTTGATTTTAAATTCTCTTTTAATCAAATTAACACATGTAAATTAATTCTGAATTAAATATAAAAAACAAAAAAGTTCACATTGAATATAATATTTTTTAGAAAAATCACATCTTTTTTTAAGAAAGAATGGTCTATTCGTACACTCTAAAAAACAGCATTTTATTTTTTTCATGTGATTTTCCGAATTTTTTTTAGGCACAAATAAAGAAAATGTTAATATATAGATGTAGTTTTTTTTTCTTTTTGGCTCTTCACTTTCCCACTTAGCGTCACTCACTCTTCCTCTCCTCACGATTCAGGTCTGTAGATTTCCCCTCAAATTCCTTCTTTTTGTCGCCCTTTCTTGCTGGTAATCCTCATCTTCAACTCTGTTCTCTCCAAAAGTCACTTGGGTCATCCCCAATTTCCCTTATTTTCGTTTCCAATTCCTCTAGGGTTCTTGCTGTTCTCCAAAATCCTCGCTTTTCGTTGTCCGCGTGATTCCCAGATCTCTGTCTCCGATCGTGGGTCGTTCTTAACTTCTTCCCACGATCTCCGATTTCGACATAATCAGATGTCGGCAGGCTGCGCAATCGAGCTCTACTTCGATCCGGCACTCGAGAACCAGGTCCTGAAAGCTTGGAACGTCTTCGCCCGCCGACAAATCAGCACGAAGTTGATCGACACCGAGTCTCGCCCACACATAGCTCTCTTCTCGACTGCCATCATCGACTCAACCAAGCTCGAATCCGTCGTCAAGGCCTTCGCTTCAAAGCAGGAACCCCTCTCCCTCTCATTCGCCTCCATCGGCAGCTTCCCGTGCGATAACAACGTACTTTTCCTCTCCCCGACGCCATCTCTATCATTACTCCAGTTGCAGATTCAGTTATGCGACGCACTGAAGAGAGAAGGTGTAGAGATCGGCGAGGATTATCGCGCCGATTCGTGGATTCCGTTTTGTCCCGTGGCTCTGGAAGTACCAAAGGCACGAATGGCGGAGGCGTTCTCGGTATTGAGGGACTTGAAGCTTCCCGTTAATGGGTACTGCATGGAAATTGGTCTTGTTGAGTTTTCTCCTGTTCGTGAAATCTTCTCCTTTGCGCTTGGTAACAACACTTTGGAGTCATGATATGATTTTAGCTTTGCTTTTTTGGAGTCTTGATGAAATAGATAGTGTTCAGTGTTATGTTGGGTTGATGATTTAGCTTATTGGTTTTATGTAATTCTCCCAGTAGAATCTTATTGTTACTCTGAAACCATGGATTTGTAAGGAATAGTTTAAGCATTGCATGTGTAATTATGTATGTCTTCTTTCCCATTTCTCCTTCTTCACTACATATGGAAATTCTTGGTTGCCAAAGAACTAGAACTCGTCTCATAGTTGCTAAAAGGCAGTGCCTTTCAGGATTTTGTCTTCGTTTTCTCGATTTGTGTTTGGGGCATCGTAGAGTTCATTTCGACCATGATGATGCTATGAATCACAAAGTTTTCTCATTGCTGATTGAGAATCTGTGATGGAGTGAACTGGTTGGCCACAATATAAGCATTATACTCATGATTCATGAAGGATCCTGCTATGCTGTTTCAGTGCTTTTGACCCTTTTCTGTATTGCTAGTTTCATGATCAAGGAAATGAACTTTTGTTTTGAAGAGC